TCACTCACTCACTCACTCCCCTCACTCCACTCACTCACTCACTCACTCACTCACTTCCCTCACTCCACTCACTCACTCACTCACTCACTCATTCACTCACCTCACTCACACACTCACTCCACTCACTCACTCACTCATTCACTCACCTCACTCACACACTCACTCCACTCACTCACCTCACTCCATTCACTCATTCACTCACCTCACTCCATCCACTCACTCACCTCACTCACTCACTCACTCACTTCCTCCCTCCCCTTACTCCACTCACTCACTCACCTCACTCCATTCACTCACTCACTCACTCACTCACTCACCTCACTCCATTCACTCACCCACCTCACTCACTCACTCACTCACTCACTCACTCACTCACTCACTCACCTACTCACCTCACTCCATTAGCTCACTCACTGCCATGAAATCAATCCCAACCCAATGGAGAGGGTAGAACTGCCTCTTTGGGTTTCTGAAACTTTAAACGGTTAGGGAAGCAGACAGGTTCATCGTTCTCCCTCAGAGCAGCTGGTGGGTTTGAACTACTGACTTTGAGTTTAGCAGCTCAGTGCATAGCTATCCATAATTTGTGCAGTAGAACACAAACACTGCCAGGTCCCACCACCAAATTGTTGCCATGTTTGAGCCCATGATCACAACCACGGTGTCAATCCATCTTGCTGAGGGTCTTCCTCTTTGTCACTGAACCTGTAACGTTTCCAGTCCCTGGTATGGAATTCTGGGGGAAAATTGCTTTTCTTCCATTGACTTTCTATCTGACCCCAGTTTTGATCTTTGTGCCTTTGTGGCTGACTTTTTCTCTGCCTTTCTTCTCTCTGAAAGCTGATGGGAACATTTTGTTATTTCCAGGCTTCTGAGATTGCACGGTGTCTACCTTGACATGGGCACTCGTATTTTTTTCAGCCACTGTGCTGGCCTTCTGGTGATCCCTTTTGGTTGTAGATCTTCTTGTCCAAATAGACTTGGTTACTGATTTGATTTTCTGGAATTTCTATTATGTGCAGGTTGGGTATCCTGGGTTGGTTTTCATGTTGTGTTTTCTCTATTTTACAGCTCTTTCCATGTCATTTCTGAGAGACCTCCAATTTATTTTCCAATATTTTTATTGTGAGTTTCGTTTCTGCCAGTATACTTCACACATTCGAAGTGTCTCACTCCTGCTTTTGGTCTCAGAACAGTCTTTCTAATAGTATCTTCCCATGAAGGCCATGTTTTCACTTGTTTATATGAGGATTAAAAGGATACCTTTTTCTTTAAAGATAAGATTTCTCCTCCCTCTATCATGTCTTGTAACTGTTTTTATATTTTATTTTTCTTTGCTTTGACTTAGAAACTTTCTTTGAAGTTTGGTGATTCATCCCTGACCACTTACATTAGGTGTAACCCACCCAAAACCTAACCCCCAGCCATTGAGTGGATTCTGGCACTTCGTGACCCTATAGGACAGAGTAGAACTTCCCTTTTGGATTTCTGTGGCTCTGCATCTTTATGGGAGCAGAAGGCTTCTCTTTCTCCATCAGAGATTCTGGTGGGTTCGAACTGCTCACCTTGGAGTTAACTCTCCAATGTGTATGTAACCCACTATGCCAGCAGATATAAAATGAAAAAACAAAGTAAATCATTGCTATTGAATGGATTCCGACTCAGGTTAGATCTGCACCTGTGGGTTTCCAAGACCAGAACTCTTTATCGAAGTCGGAAGTCTCATCTGTCTCTCTACCAGGTATAGGCACTACAAAACTGATTAGAAATTTGGCATGAGTGGTGAGTTTGTTGAACATAGTCCTCGTTGTAGGATGATTTGCCTCAAACAGATTCCTTGGGGAAGATCTCCAGAACCAGTCTGCTCTTATAGGCTCATTGGTTTCCCCAGTTGGCCACCTGCTTCATAAGGGACTCTGGCTGCATGTATATGTGTGGGAACTGCCTGTATCACTTTGCCATCTTTAACCAGAAGTGGATGACTTATTTATATTTGAATTAGATTGTATGAGATTTTACCCACATTCAGCAGAAGAGTCTGAGTCTTTCCAGAGGTATAAACCCGCATCTCTTTGTGTTCTACATATGTACATGTATGAACATTTCTTTCTAATCGGTCCCCTCTTACCCTAATTCTGAACCCAGCAATGTTTCCAGGACGCAACACCATGGCGCTTTCATTTATTGTGGCAGTGAGCCAATAAGTTTGGTGCAATAGAACACTAGCTGAGATGGTCGTGTTTTTCTTGTGATACTTACAAAACAAAACAACACTGTTGTCAAAGCCAGTCTTACTTATTTAGTGATGACTATTTTATCTTCTGAGCCTTGGTCTATGGACCTGTTTTATTTTATTCCTTTAGAAAACATATCGGAGGATTTTTTTTTAAAATCATGTCCATGTATATTCGGCCAGTCCTTGCTTTCTCACTGTTTAAGGTTCCCGCCTTAATGTGAATGTCTACATGGCAATTTCTTTTGCCTTTTTACCCTTGGGATTTCCTACTTTCCAAACCCATGAAGTAATATTGACTGTAGTTTTCATGCTCATTGTCTCTGTACCACAAGAAGAAACAACACATTTCCGGGTCCATTTTCTTTGAGATGTAAGAGATACTCATGCAGCGAGGCTCCTTGTTCAACACTTGAAATCCTCACAGGAACATGCCTTAGTGGAAATGCATTGATAATTCTCTTTTCATAACAGGAATGTCAAAAGAAATTAAAACACAGACTTGGACTGGACTCCTACTTACTCAAGCCAGTGCAACGAATCACCAAATATCAATTACTGCTGAAGGTAATTACATCATACAATCCTTTCAGTCTTGCCTTACTTGTTTGGGTGAGATAGAAGCTATGAAGAAGGGCCCCTCTGCCTAGGAAGCACTAGAAGTAGGTAGGATCAATAAGTAGGAAGGTTGGGTTTCCTAATAGAATCCATTCGATGTGCCATGGTACAAGTACTTTAGACGCCAAGCTGAGACTAGTATGGATCATTTTTCCATTCAATTCTCCAAAGAGGTTAGAGTTGATTTATGTAGGAGATTTCACTGGAGAACTTTTAATATTGCTGAGATCAAAAGAGACCAACATTTCTTAGAGCTTTGAGGAAGAACTTCATATGGACCTTCTCTCTGAAAAAGGAAAATTACAATTCAGGGTGATCCGCTGGGTGTCAGCTTAGAACTGTGTTCCATAGGATGGTTTTCAATGGCTGATTTGGGGGAAGCAGATCACCAGGCCTTTCTTCCCAGGCACTTTTGGGTGGGCTCAACCAGCAATGTTTTACTTATCAGTGGAGTCCATTAACCATTTGCACAGTCACATGTATAATTGCTTTTAAAACAAATCTCTAGTGTGGCCTAATGCTCTTTTTTTCCCAGTTCAAAAGCATCAAATGCCCTTTGCTTTATATTGTTCTATCACTTCTGCTTCTCCAATTTTCACATTGTTTTTAGATACAGTATTAATGTAACAAAGAGCACATAAGTGAAATTACAGGAAGTCCATGGGTTACCTATAACTTGGAGTTACATCATCTCCTGCAAAACCAATTATATTAAACTTGGGGGAGGGGTACATATAGTGTTTTGTAGTAACAAATGGATGCTACTTCGAGTGCTACATTGGGACATGCATCAAAACTTTTATTATTTTTACTGTATTGTTGAAGATGTTTCAGTATGCCTGGAAGTGCTTTGAAAAATTCTTTATGCATAGATGTGTACACAATAAAAGTACACTGAGACACACATGTGCCTAACTTGATGTTGAATATGAACCATACCTAATTGTTCCCACTTATGTGCAAATTTGCCTTGAAGACTGAAGACCAGGACTTGTTCATAATCCAGGGGGTTATCGTACTCAAAAAAAGTGATGTTATCTTTGAGTTCTTCCTTGAATGTATATTAGCCAAAAAGTTAATAATTTTAATCCAGCTATTAATAACCACCTAATATGACATCCATTCCTGGTTTCCAATGACAGGATCTATTAAAATATAGCACAGACTGTGAAGGGACTGAGCAATTAAAGGCAGCGCTGGACTCAATACTGGAATTACTGAAGTCAGTGAATGACTCCATGCATCAGATAGCAGTGACTGGCTACGTCGTAAGTTAATCCTCCAAGTTGTTGGGATTTGGGGTGGGTAAACCTGTCAACATCCCCTTTCCCCCTCCTGGAACCATTGAGAAATAAGGTGCGGGGAGAGACAACCAAATGGGACTATTATGCTAATGCCAAGTAAAGAATTGGCTCCTGATCCATACGCAGATAGATTTGCAATGTTCCATTGGCCCCAGTGCCTGCGCCTCAGTCCAGACCTGGGGACTTCTGCCTGAAGGCATGTTTGGGTCTGTTCAGGAGACAGACCATCCTTGAATGCAGGTTTTTTTTCCTTCCTACAGTTTTATTGGCATATAATTCACATATCATAGTGATTAGTAAGTACATGAAACAACAACAAAGGAAATAATAAGGAAGTCTATAAATGAAATTAATTCAGTACAGAAAAAAAATATGTGAAATAGAGAAGTCCATAGACGAATGAGTGGATTCGGGGCTCTTATTTAATTCTTGCCCTATTTCAAGAATATTTAGTTCTTTTTTTTAAAGTCATTTTATTGGGGGCTTGTACAACTCTTATCACAATTCGTACATACATTGTGTGTCAAGCACATTTGTACATTTGTTGCTCTCATCATTTTCAAAGCATTTGCTTTCTACTTGAACCCTTGGTATCAGCTCCTCATTTTCCCCCTCCTTCCTTACTACCCCCTCCCTCATGAACCCCTGATAATTTATAAATTATTATTCCGTCATATCTTGCCCTGTACGACGTCTCCCTTCACCCCCTTTTCTGTTGTGTGTCCCCCAGGGAGGAGGTCACATGTAATCGGTTCCCTCTTTCCACCCCACCTTCCCTCCACCCTCCCAGTATCGCCACTCTCACCACTGGTTCTGAAGGGCTCATCTGTCCTGGATTCCCTGTGTTTCCAGTTCCTATCTGTACCAGTGTACATCCTCTGGTCTAGGCAGACTTGTAAGGTAGAATTGGGATGGCTGTTTTGTCTAGTTCAGCATCTCCTTTCACTGCCATCGAGTGGATTCTGACTCATAGTGCCCCTATATGACAGGATAGGACTGTCCCTGTGAGTTTCTGAGACGGTAACTCTTTATGGGAACAGCAAGCCTTACCTCTCTTTTGAAAGGAGCCACTGGTGGTTTCGAACTGCAGAACCTTGAGGTTAGCAGCCCAACATGTAACCTCTAGTCCAGGAGGACTTCCCCCAGTCCAGCATATAGAGATGGAAGAAAAGGATCAAATCTTCTGAGTTGGGGGCCTTTTTAACAGATTAACTCCACCCACGGGGGGGGGGGTGCTGGTGGGGGGAAAGCTTGACTGGCATCTGTCATCCACCAATCAGAATTGAGGAAGAGATGGAGTATGTTACTTCAGCAGACAGACTTCCCACAAGGAGGCCAGAAGCCAGGGAGACGGAGTTTCTCCTATTTCCATCCCTCAAAGTGATTTCGCACATTTGTGACACCTAGTGTGGTTGAACCGAAAAAGTCTTAGTAATTAAGGCTGTTGAGATGCTACCATGTATGCTTCAGGGTTGTAATGCCTCCAGTGTGACACTACAATGCAGACGCCAGAGAGCTGAGTGAAGCTCTGCCTGGTCTAATGGCTCCTGATTTCTGTTGCAGGGAAATTTGAACGACCTGGGCAAGATGATCATGCAAGGCCCATTTAGTGTCTGGATGGGCCACCGGAAAGGACCTACCAAAATGAAGGATTTTGCTCGATTTAAGCCCATGCAGCGTGTCCTCTTCTTGTATGAGAAAGCCATCATTTTTTGTAAGAAGCGCATGGAAGGCGGAGAAGGCTCTGAGAGATTTCCATCATACAGTTTTAAAAACTGTTTGGATGTAAGTTCCTTTGGATGATGTCATGTAATAGTGTTGTGTGTGCATGTGTGTGGATACATATGGAGGCTTCAAACTTGTCTGGGAATGTGGAATGAAAAGATACTGGAATTTGTCCACGAGCTGCTTGCTGCCCTCCTCGTATATCCCGTGTGTATGTGTGTGTGTGTGTGTGTGTGTGTGGCGTGGGGGCATAATTCACCACACATAAAGCTCAAGTACTTTTCCATCCAAGTGAGGATTTTCTCCTTTAGCCGCACATCATGTCCTTTAGAAGACACCGGGACGCTAATTGGGAAGGAGGTAAAGCTGCGATTGCCAGCTGGTAAGGAGAGAGTGAATGAGTGAGCAAGCGAGCTAGGGAGCCAGTTGAAGGCTTGAGTGTTCCCATCCTTTTTCCCCTCACTCTGTCCTCAGGCGGTCTGCCAGGGTCCTCGCTGAGCCTCAGCGATCTCTGTTGGCACACTCTTAACCCATCACGAATGAGACTCGGTGGCCTTCCAGGGCTTGGCAGGCAGGAGCGTTCATGGTGCAGGAGAGAAAAAGAGGAAACGTTTGATTTTCTTTTTCATCAGTGCAAATGGATAACAGGAGGGCAGGAGGAAGGGATACCGAAAGGCAGGGGGGAATATGCTGACAGGAACCGGAAGCACTTTGGGGCCCCTTCAGTAGAGTCATCCCCAGAGCAACTGGTTTTAATGAAGAGGATGAGATAATGTCTCCTGAAATAGTCAAAAGAAAAGAAAAAGAAAACAACAACAACAAAAGAAAACCTCTCTGCCATTGAGTCAATTCCATCTGACAGCAACCCTATAGAACTAGGTTGAACTGACCCTGTGGATTTCCAAGACTGTCATTCTCCTTTCTCCTGTGAAACAGCTGGTGGTTTTGAACGGCTGACCTTGAGGATAGCAGCCCAGCATGGGGTCTCTAGGGCTCTTGAGATGGGCATGGGGCATTTCTGCTAAGGTAGCACTGGATCTGCAAGCCCTGCTTAAGAATCACTCTATGGATTTAGGGACCCAAAACTCTTCCTCCTGGACCCCTGCCCTAGGGTCAGGTCCTTGAACTACTCCTACATCTACTCCCCGCCACCCCCACCCCACTGCAGCTTCTCTCAAACTCTGTTTTCAAAATGCTCCTTTGAGATGAGCAGTCTACCTCCTAGTACAGAAATCTCCAGGGGACTTTTATGTCTCTAATAAACTTTCCTGGAGAACCATGGATTTGTAATCTCTGCCTCTTTCTTGGGAAAGGTACTTTATCTTTCTTTGTTGAATATAGGCATACTTTAGTGAAATCCATTTGATGCGTATTTTATTAGTGAGGTGGCCATTGTGGACATTGAATGTAGAATTTCTGGTTGGTATTGATTTTTCATTGATCTTTATTTATCACAGTGATGGGCACAGCAAGAAAATGTTTCCAGATTACATTATATTTATGAGGGCCTGGTATGAAGTAATGAAGTCATAAGAACACAAATGACAACAATTACCACAGAAACAGAGAGGGCTGGGATAGACATGAGAAATATTTGACGAGAAAATAGTTGGACTGGGTGACTTGCTAGATACAGGCAAGAAGTAATATATAATATTTGAATGAAGCTAATCGATCCGATTTGGCTTAAGGATACAAGGCATTATTGTCTTACAATAATGCCTCATATCTTTAAAAGAAAAAAAAAGTCATCAGTGACGCCTGTAAGGTTTTAGACCAGGATTGCTGGGGAAATAAAATGTTGATGCCACTGAGACCAATGGAAATTTCTTTGGTGGCGCAATGGGTTACGCTTCGAGCTACTAATCGAAAGGTCAGCAGTTAGAAACCACCAGCTACTTCTCAGGAGAAAAACGAGGCTTTCTACTCTCACAGGAGCAGTTCTACCCTGTTGTATAGGGTCGCTTGGAGTTGGAATTGATTTGGTGGCAATAAGCTTGGTGTGATTTGGTTTGGGTGGCGTACGTGGTTATGTGTTGGACTGCTACCTGCATGGTCAGCAGTTCGGACCCACCAGCCATCCTTGGGAGAAAGGTGAGGCTGTCTCTTCTCATGAAGCCTCAGGAACTCTGCCCAATAGGTTTGCTATGAGTTGGGAATCGACTTGATGGCAGTAGATAAAGGTTTAGGGCATGGATGAGCTATAGTTAAAGTTGACAAAAGAAAGGTTCTGTAGTCACAGTTAATCAGAAGGAGAGATGGGAGTTTTTCCATTTCCTCAGTTCATACATTACCTTTCTTTTCTTTTCAAAAAACCAACAAGCATAAAGCTGGTACTCTGTGCCAGGAAGTGTTCTGAGCATTTACAAATACCATTATGAACTCATTTACTGATCATAGCAACTTTCTGTGAACGAGGCACTGCTATTTTTATTCCCATTTTAACTATGGGAAAAATGAAGCACAGCGAAGTCAGTAACTCACTCAAAGTCACATTGCTGGCAAGTGGTGGGCTGGACTTCTATAGAGGGAATAAATTGGAATATTAACCAGCTTGTTAAATAATTAATAAAAATAGCCATTTAAAGTAATTTAGGTATGACTTTTCCCCAAAAGCCCACACCATCACAGTGGTTTCAAGTCATAGCGACCCTGCTAGGACAGGATAGAGCCCTGTTGGCATAGTGGGCTACGCATTGAACTGCTAACCACAAGGTCAGTAGTTTGAGCTCACCAGTCACTTTGCTGTAAAAAGATGTGGCTATTTGCTTCTTTTCTCATGGAGTGGCTGGTGGTTTAAAACTGGTGACCTAGCAGTTATCAGCCCAACACGTAACCACTACACCACCAAGGCTCCTTGGCGTTAATGCTACGGGGCTTTTAAAAGTTCATGGAAAATTCCATTATCTTTTCATTCCATTTTCCCGCTCACTTTCTGAAGCCTCCTCACACCACATTGTTCACTGATAGCAGAAATCAATCTTGCACGAATGACTTGCATGTGCTGATTCATAGCATTTGTTGCTCATCGTTGGGATGAAGCATGGCACCTGAACTCTAAAGCTCAGAGTGTGATGACAACATTTAGATACTCTTGTCAACTTATGTTTTACTCATGGAGGACAAAGTGCCTGTTTTTGCCCAAGCGAGCAATTCAGTTTCACATAGACGATGCTGAAGTGCATGCAGTATAATTTCGTGCTCAAAATAAAATACTCAAGAAAATGTCTTCTTCTGTGTTGTAGATAAATGAAGTTGGAGTCACTGAGTATGTTAAAGGAGATGGCCGCAAGTTTGAACTCTGGAGCAGTGGAAAGGAAGAAGTTTACACTCTCCAGGTTGGACATTTACTATTTATTCTAGATGCCATAACCTACTTTGAGATTCAGAAGTGTAAACTGGCAAACATATTTTGATATCTGTTTAAACTATCTGTTTCTTTTGTTTAATGCTGTACTTTGATGGCTACAATCCATAAAAAGATGCTTGCATGGTTTGGGTTGATTTCTACTATTAACAAACTTCAAATGCTTGTTACACTATTTGGGATACTATTTTAGGAACCTTTCAATCTATCATCTGTCACTCAATGTCTTCTGTAAATAGGTTGTCTTTCCAACCACAGTAGCACTTACCCTATTTGGGCAAAATGAAACATGAAAGGATTTACTTAAAAAAATAACATATAGTTTAATAGTTCAGTCATATTAAAGAAGGGTTGTGCAGTCCTCGCCACAGTCGACATTTTCTTCCTTCTTGTACCCATCGCTGTTGCCTCCCCATTTCTCCCCCTCTCCTTCCATGGCACCAGGGATTTCGTAATCCTGTTGCTGTCTTCCTAGATCCACCCATCCTGACTTCTTTATACAGAAAAAGGTACAAAACAAAGACAAAATCCATAAAAGGACCCAGCAACATGACCAAATAAAACAGAAAAACCTTAATCGCAAAGAAAGCAGAGAATAATAAAAAACTAGAATCAATTCAAAATGCATTAAAAGGGAGTTCTAATGTCAAGATTTACATTTTTAACAAACTTTCATGTGGGGGGGAAAAATAAAAGCCCCAAGCAAAGTGAAATGATATTTTACGTGTGCTCGGTGTTGTTACTTCCTTATTTAAGGGCCATTTCAAAATGGATTGGGCTACACTTCACCTACTCTACTGATTTGCTGCTTAGGGATCTTAAGATTCAAAGGATTATAAAGGGGAAATAAGGTTCTAGGTAGTAGATCATGTTTCATCGGTTTAATGAAGCTGTTGCATTATAAACATCCTCTTTTTAAAATGTCACCTCCATTCTTTTTAAATCGGCAGGCTCCAAATATGGACGTGAAGATGACATGGCTAAAAGAAATAAGAACCATTTTGTTGAAGCAACAGGAACTCGCAGGTAAATTTAATCATGAATTAATTATTCAGAACCAGAAGAACAGTAGAAGCTCATAGGTGCAGATTTTGTGGCCATCCGTAGGGAATGGAGCAGATAGTCCCAGGCAATCCCTGGGATCTGCTCCTTACTGGATCTTTGTTTTTCAGTGACATTTGTAAGTCAGAACTGGCACATAAGGTTCTTATTTCGCCCCACTAAAAACAAACAATAACACCCACACTCACTGCCATCAAGTGGATTCCGTAGTGAGTGACAGTCGCGGAAACCCATAGGGGTAGTTGGACCTTGTCCCACTGGGTCCCTCGGAACCATCCTAAAATGCAAGGAAAAGAAACACAGGGGACACTGCTAACCGCAGTGTGAGGTGTTGAGCTGCTAATTGCAAGGCGGCTGCTCAAACCCACGGAGCGCTCTGAGGAAGAGAGATGGAGCTGTCTGCTCCTTTCCAGACTAACTGTCTTAGGAATTCTGCATCGGGGCACTACGAATTGGCAGTGGGGTTTAGTGCACAGTGATGTAAAAGCTGCATGTGCAGCAAGTGAAGGTGATTACAGTGAATAATTTGTTGTAAATAGGTTTGCTTGAATTGTTTCAAATTTAGATACCATTAAAGGGCAAGTAAGAGTTTCCCATAAGCCAGGGATTCACAACCTTCATTACTATTTATAAGGAGAGAGTTTGGTAAATTAATAGAAAGATCGAGATTCAGGAGGCTGTTTAAAACCATTTGGGAGAATGAACTCAAGCTTGATTGAGAAGTCATTGAAAAGCAAGGCAATGCAGATGCAGTCAATTGACTGTGTTATTTGCAACTTCTCACCATAAGGCAACTCTGCTTAGGCTTGCCAGTCATCCATCATGGCTCAGTAAACCAAGATCTAGTTCTAAACATGCATTTCTTGACTAATGTGGCTTCAGCCTTTCCCAAACCCAAATTCAGACTGGTCTTCTCTCTCAGGTTATCAGGTGAGTACAGCTTATCTGGAATTCTTGAATGGGAATGGTGTATTAAGTCACTAGCTTTCAAGTAAGTACGAAGACTGACTTCTGACTGATCCATAATAAGTTCTGTTATTATTTTGCAGTTAAAAAACAAGAGCAACGGGATCAGATGGCCGGCCAGGGGCCGCTTTCCCTTAAGCAGAATGAGTAAGTGAATTTTCTCTAAGGAGAAAAATGTTCTCAATCTTTGGTTTTCTGTAGCTAACATGAAACAATATAATTGAAGTATCTCTGACAAACTCCACCCACCATTTTAGCAGGAATCCATCCAATTCTAGAAACGCATAATTTTGTCAGTTCTAGCCTTATCCTTGCTGTCTGATAGTCCCTAACAGCGATTCCTTGTTCACGTCAAGGTTAACTATAATAGTTTGAGCTGGCTTTTAAACTTGGCTCTTACACTATCCTGAGGGATTGGGGGGAAAACGGGGTATTGCATATGGAATAAAGGTGGCTATCATTATGGCTTTCTCCTCTTTTTGGTCACTTTCCATCTGAATGGAGAATTCCAAGAATATGCAAACAGACTAGATGAAGCCCTGGCTATCTGCAGTGTCACTGGCTCACTCTTGTGGTCCCTTGATAGAGACCTGTCACTGCTGAGTTGGACTTTTTTCTGCCTTGGGGTGTGTGGATATGATGATCCACAGAGGGAACTGTCCCTGGACAAAACCACGAAGTCCCCAAACCAGCCCTAAACCAGCTCTGCTGCTAGTTTAGAGATGGGGTCTTTGTAGCCTACCTTTGTTGTGGTTAGCTCGTGTTGAATGGTCAGCAACTCCTGGAGCTCTGGTGGTGTAATGGTAGATGTTAGGTTGTTAACAGCAAGGTCAGTGTGTTAGTCCGGGTAGACTAGAGAAACAAATTCATAGATACCCATATGTGTAAATGAAAGAGCTTTATATACAAGAGCAATTGAATATTGAGAAAACAGCCCAGCCCAGTCCAGATCAAGTCCACAAGTCCGATATTAGCCCATATGTCCGATACCAATCTATAAAGTTCTCTTCAGACAACACATGCAATGATGCTGAATGCAGGAAGATCGCTGGCCAGTGGGTGGGAAGTCTTGTGGATCCAGTGGCAATAGAGGCATCCCAGCACTGGCAGGGGTCTCCCCATGTGGCTCCTTCAGGTCCAGAGCTCTAGCGAAGCTCCGTGTGTCTTGTTAGCAAGCATGTCTCACAGGGAGTGAGCCTGTGTCCCGCCTCCAGCAAGCTGTTTATCTCCTTGGTGCCTCCAAATGAGGTCATCAAGCTGCGACCTGATTGACAGGCTAACCTCCATCCCTTCACTCTTAAGTCTCAAATTGACAACAGATTATGTAACTACCACAGTCAGCAATTCAAAACCACCTGCAGCTCTTCAGGAGAAATGCAAAGCTTTCAACTCCCATAAAGAGTTACAGTCTTGGAAACCCAGGGGGGGGGGTGGTTCTATCTACCCCATTCTACAGGGTTGCTACAAATCAGAATGGACTCTGTGGCAGTGAGGTTTTGTTGTTTTGTTTGTCATAGTGATTCCACGCACAAAGAAATGCTGCCCAGTCCTGCCCATCCCTATAATGTCTTATAAATCAGACTCTTAGGATTTCTTTGGCTGATTCTCAGAAGTATATTAGCAGGCCTTTATTCTTGGTCTGAAAGCTCTGCTGAAACCTGTTTAGTATCATAACAACATTCAAGGCTCCACTGTCAGATAGAGGCTGCATATGAGGTGAATTGGCCAGGAGGACCCCAGGTCGCTTACATGGAAGGTGAGAATCCTACTATTGAACCGCCACTGCCTCCTCCATTCTGTTTCTGTGCATTCTAAAAGGGGGAGTTTCAACTGGAACATTTACATTCAGAAAGAATTCCCACACTGGTTCCAAAGTCTTGGCACAGAAATGGACTGCTGTGGCACCTGCATGATTGTGGGAATTCTGGAATGACTTCCTAGAAATACTAGTTTTGTTTTTAGTGCATATCGCCTTTAAAAATTGCCAAAACATGTTTGTTGGTTCATCTGGTGTCTTGGGTTGTTGTTTTGTGCCGTTGTGTTAATTCCAACTCACAAGCACACTGCAGAACAGAGTAGAATGACTCCATGAGGTTTCCTAGGTCACATTTTTTGCCTTCTGAGCGGTTGGTGAGTTTGAACTGTCAGCCTTTGGTTGGGAGCTGAGCACTCTGCTACTGAGGATCCTTTTAAAAATCATATGTGTAAAGACTTTAGATTTGATGTGGTAATCAACTTAGTAATAGCTGACACAGATTCAACAGTATGAATTTGTTTAAGGTTTCATCTTCATTTACACACATTTTACCTAATTCGCTAAAGTTAAAAATCTGCAGAGCAAGGAGGATTTTACACAACGTACCTTCCTTAAATGTTGATGTTAGGTGCATATAGTTCATTCCAACTCATAGCAACCATATGGACAATTAGCGAAATGCTGCCTGAACCTCCTCCAGCCTCACAATCATTGTTGTGTTTGAACCCATTGTTGCAGTCACTGTGTCAGTCCATCTTGTTGAAGGTTTTCCTCTTTTTCATTGGTCTTCTTAACCAAACAATGGTGTCTTTCTCCAGGGACCAGTCCATCCTAATGACATGTACATAGTTTGTGAGGCCGAGTCTCATCATCTTTACTTCTAAAGAGCATTATACTTCTTCCAAGAAAGATGTTTTAGTCTGGGTGGACTAGAGAAATAAATTCTTAGACATTCATGTGTATAAGAAAGAGCTTTATATAAAGAGTAATTGCACATTAAGAAAATATCCCAGCCCAGTCCAGATCAAGTCCATAAGTCAGATAGTAGCCCATATGTCCTATATCAATCAATAAAGTCCTATTCAGACCCAGGAAACACATGCAATGGCACAGAATGCAGGAAGATCACAGACCAGTGGGTGGTAAGTCTTGTGGATCCAGTGATGTTGTAAGCATCTCAGTGCTGGCATCAGTCTCCACGTGGCTCCTCCAGGTCAGGGCACTAGCGCAGCTCCATGTGTCTTGTCAGCTACAATGTCTCCCAGGGAGTGAGCCTGTGTCCCACCTCAAGGGAGCTTTTAGCTCCTTAGTACCTCCAAATGAGGTCATCAAGCTGCCACCTGGTTGACAGGCTAAACTCCACCCCTTCACTCTTAATCCTCTCAAATTGACAACAGGTTTTGTAACTACCACAACAGACTTGTTTGTTCTTCTGGCACTCTGTAGTCTATTTAACATTCTTCACCAAAAATGTAATTCAAATGCAATAATTATCCTTTTATCTTTCTTCAGCATTGTCCAGCTTTCACATGCATATGAGGTGATTGAAAATACCTTGGCTTGGATCAGGCACATTCTAGTCCTCAAAGTGACATCGTTGCTTTATAACACTTTTGAGAAGTCTTTAGAGCTAGATTTGCCCAATGTGATAACATTGTTTGATTTCTTAAATATTTCTCCATTGGCATTGATTGTGTATCCAAGTAAGATGTAATTGTTGAAAACTTTGATATTTTCACTAATTATCATGATATTGGTTATTGGTCCACTTGTAATGATTTTTGTCTCTAATCCATACTGAACGACTGCAGTCTTTGAGCTTCATCCTCAAGTCATCTCTTTCAGTACGCAAGGTCTTGTCATCTGTACTTCACAGGATATTGATGATTCTTCCGCCAATCCCGATACCAAGTTCTTTGTCAAATAGTATAGTTTTGGGGGGTTATTTGTCCAACATTCTTGTTCTGTTCAAGCAACTGCCTCTCAATACATGTAACGGTTCCACATGAACACAATGATGTGTTCTGAAATTCCTATTCTTCACAATGTTATCCATAGTTTGGGATGGTCCACAAAATCAAATGCCTTTGCCTAGTCACAAAAACAAAGGTAAACATTTTTTCTTATATTTTCTTCTTTCAGCCAACCTCCATCTGACATAGCAATGATAGCCCTCCTTCTACACCCTGTTCTGAATCTAGCATGCATTTCTAATGTTTCCTTTTGATGTACTGCTGGAAATTCGTTAAAATTATCTTCAGTAAAAAAAAAAAGTGTTTTATATTAAAGATATTCTTCAATATTTGACCAGGCCGCTGTCTCCCAAATTTCTTAAAATAGATGAATGAGTCCTTCCAATGTTGCATTTGTTGGTTGAAACATCTGTGGGTATTCTGTCGATTCTTGGAGACTTGTTTTTCACCAACAATTTTAGTTCAGCGTGGACTTTTTTCTTCAGTACCATCAGTTCTTGATCATATACTATCTCTTGAAATGGTTGGATGTTGACCAATTCTTTCTGCCATAGCGACTCTGTCTGTGTATTCGTTCCATCTGCTTTGAATGCTTCTTGTATTGTTCAATATTTTGCCCTTAGAATCAATATTTCAGATAGAGACTTGAGGGGTTTTCCCTTCAATTTCTTCAGCTTGAGGAATGCTGAATGGGTTCCTCTCTTTTCGTTCTCTAACTCCTCCAGGGTTTTGCACACGTCATTATACTATTGTACTTTATCTTTTTCAGTTGCCCTTTGAAATCTTCGGTTCAGCTTTGTCACTTATCATTTCCTCCATTTGCTTTAGCCACTCTATATTCAAGAGCAAGTTTCTGGGTTTCTTCTGCTATCCATTTTGGCCTTTTTTTCCCTTTATGATTTAGTAGGTAGGTATTTTTTTCCCATTGACCATTAAAGAGAGGACCTTTTGGCTAGGTTATTAGAGTTTATACTTTTTTGTATTATGAAGTATAATCACATGGACTTAAAATGGGATATCAGTTCTATTTGAATGGATTCTAAAGGCATGCTCATAAGACATGGCATTCCTTGGTGAAAGAAATATCATTTGACCTTCCTTACTCAGTTTAGACTGTACCGCAGCTTCCTGAATTTGACCTGTTTCCTATTTCAGCAAGCAAAAGGGAAGTTCTGTCAGCACTGAGGTGACCGCATCTGCACACATTGGCGCTGCGGCCATGGCGGGCAATGCAGAAGGTGTGCCAGTTCATGCAGAAGCAAGCAGAGGTATGTATCATGATCATCCAAAGCTAAGCTTCATGGCTGTGCCCACTTTCATCTACCATAATTAATTTGGAAAATCTGCCTATGACTTTGTATGAAACGAAATGATGCTCACCCATTTCTAAAAGGCGTTTCTGACTTATGGTACATGTGCAAGTCATTCTGGTGGGCAATGTAGAGCCATAGTTGTCTAAGCGGTGTCCCTGGAACCCATCAGCATAGTTTGTTAGGCAAATTCTCCAGCTTCATTCTAGACCTCTGGAATCAGAAATTCAGACATTGGGGCCAAGCCTTTGGAGTTTAAATAAAACCTCCAGGTAATGCTGAGGCAAACTCAAGTTTGAGCCCCTGCTGTGGAGGATACACAGCTGTTCCATGGGAGAAAGATGTGGCAATCTGCTTCCATAAAGATCGACAGCCTTGGAAGCCCTCTGGGGTCATTCTAGTCTGTCCACTAGGGTCACTAGGAGGCTGAATGAACTCGATGGCAATGGGTTTGGTTTTGATTTAGGATTGGTTCCAAAGAGTGCTTACATCACTTACCATATGTTTAATGAATCGAGAACAGTCACTAGTAGCCGGACAACTTGTTTTTAGGCAAATTGTGCCATTCAGAGTGATTGATTTCAAACAATTTAATTCAACAAATAATAAACACAATCTATTGGTACTTATGCAAAGTGCTGGGTATACAGTCTAATTAATGCACACTCAGCGGCCATTCCCATAAAGCTAGGCTGTATGAAAGGCAATTCCACAGGCAATGAAAATGAAATGTGCCAAGTGCTGTGATAGCCAGGTCACATGAACAGGTCTGAGAAATGCCTAACATAGTTAGCCTGTGATCCTCAACACTTAAAAAGAGGGCCCTTCTGTGGAAGATTTCCCATGAGTTCAGGAGAAACAAGTAATGACAAGCATGCTCAATTTCCAGGTAAACATCCAAAGCGCACAGTGCTTGAGTCCTCTATGTCCTCAGGAGAGAGTCACGTATGTTTTTGGCTTCATTTTACATATGAGGAAACCAAGCCAGGGAAAGTTAAGGTGACTTTCACCAGGTTATGGGAACCATTTAGTGTGGCCAAGATGAGATGCTGTTCCTTCTCTCCTTAATTTGATTGCTTAATCCCAATCAGTTAAATAAGCCACTGCCATCAAGTCAATTCTGACATACAGGGATCTGAGAGGACAGAGCAAAGAAAACTGCTCCCTCCGGTTTCTGAGGCTGGACATCATTATGGGAGCAGACAGTTTCATTTTTCCCTTGTGGATTGGCTGGTGAGTTCAAATGGCTGACCTTGACATTAGCAGCCCAATTTGTCATCTATTGCCCCCAATCGATCACACACACACACACACACACACACACACACACACACACACACACAGGTTTTAAAAAGTTTATGAAGAAAAAAAAGAGAAAAGATCATGGAATTTTCCCATGAATTTTTTGAAGCTCCTTCAGATTTAAATTAAGCACGTCCTGCAGATAAGGGCCTTAGGAAACTTATAAAGTTGTATGGATAATTCAGGTTCTCTGTACAGTATGAGACATAAAACAAGTCAAAAATCCGTTTAATATGAGGCAGAATGTAGTACGCGTGTGATGAGTAATGCCAATAAGGATGTACTGGAAAGACTCTTTGGGAGAGAGAAGATTCTGATAGAAGGACAAACAGGATCTAAACTAATCACCTCACTTATTTTTTTTTCTTAACAGCTTTCCCACCAACACCCACTTTTAAACAATTAAAAAATAAGCAAAGTAAGTGATAATCCAGGCCCTTTCCGAACTATCAGCTATTGGAAAACGGGAGATTTCACTATACAGAGAAAGAAACCCTTATTGGGCCGCTGCCATCTCCAGCCTGGATTATTACATAGTTCATCTGCTCTCCTTGTGGTCATTCAGCACCATTTTATCACTGTGATCCACTATTTCTTTTCTTCCAGTTTGGACAGGGATGCCATCCTCCGCAGAAACCTCTGAAGGACCCCAGCAGTGGTCGAGGGAAATTTTCTATTCTGCTTATACAGAATATGGAGAAGATAGGCCCCAGATGGTTAGTAATTACACAGTAAAACTAAAGTCCTTGAGACAGGTTTACTGATAAAATAGGGGGCATGTAAAAGCAAAATGCTTCATATTCTTGAGGTCATTAGCTACATTTCATGGCCAAAGAGTTTGAAACCAGTGTCATTTCTAATACATCTCTAAGGACTTCTCTTTTTAAGTAGAATCTGTTTGCATCACCCATGAAGTCCTCACTGAGTTGATGAGACGCATAATGAACAATTCTCAGTCTCTATGAATGGACCTCTTTGATCTTACCTGAGGTTTCCCCACTGCCTTCTTCATCTAGGCCAGTGAGATAAGAATCTGAGAACCCAGAAGTTGTAACTGTACTTAAAACAAACAAACAAAATCCATTTTGATTCCAGGTTGGAAACCATAAGATACCAGCAATGTTATACATGAAAAATGATTTTGAGAACATCTCGGGGAAGTGTGTCTTGGCGGCCTCTCCGAGAATGTACTAATGATACTATGCCTCAGCAGGTGCTTGTCAAACTGGAAGGGGATTGTTTTAGGGTCAAAGGAAGTTGGTTCTCAGAGGTGAGTGAGGACTGATGGAGATAAGTCCCCAGTGAAGCCATCCGTTTAGAGAGTGGGAAGAACCCTTCCTCGGCTGCCCTCTCCCTTTGGCTCCTTCCAGAGGAACGGATTCAATTGGACAGAAGGGAGTGATTGATGGCACAGATATCATAAAGCTGCAAAGCCTCGGCTCTGGAACGCTTTCTTTTCAAAATAACAAATCATGCTTTCTTCTAGTAATAGTGATCAAAGAATACATTTCTTTGGTTGCTACAGTTTGGCAAAGGATTTCACCTTGACTTTCCACCCTATTAAATGTGAGAAAGAGCAGACTTTATGATCTCCCATAAACAGGAGAAAACAGAGGCTCAGCGCTGGTACATTCTTTGCCTAGAGTTAATTGTATTGAATGACAGTTCTCAGACGTTACAATCCCAGAAATCCTTTACATTCTGGAACATAATTGAGACCCCCCCAAATCTAATCACATCTTTGTGTAGAAATTGTTACATAGGGAGCGAACTTGCTGATTACATTTTAACTGAAAACACTCAAAAAACCCAAAATCACTGCCATCGAATGGGTTCTGACTCACAGCAACTCTATTGGGCAGTGGAGAATTGTCCCTATGGGTTTCTGAGACAGTAACTCCGCACAGGAACAGAAAGTTTCCTCTTTCTCCCTTGGGGCAGCCAGTGGTTTTGAACTGCTGACCATTATGTGTCCAGAACTCCTTACTCAAATCACAATACATTGTTATTAGAACATGTATTGAGAACCCCAAAGAGCTTTGGTTTATGTGGTTTGCATCTATTGATACCATATCACACACTCATATTTTGAAGCTGATTCTTTCTTGTAAAGATCTCAATTGACATAATGTTCCTATTTAAAAACTACCCTTTTCAAAACAAAGTCTCCATGAGAAGAACCGTTATTTCTTTTGCAAAGCTCTATACTATCTGGTTTAAAGGAGACCGTCGTCTTCCAATATCAGCTTTTGCAATTTACTCTCTTGGCATATTGAATGTCACGCAGCCTCTAGAAAATTCCACCGTAAGCTTGTCAGAAAGATTGAGACAGGCAAATGATGTCTTAATATAGGTTTTATCTTAGAAGAGTTGGAAAGTGTTTTAGCAACACTGCAGGACGTGCCTCCTACACTGTGTGAGAGCTGTCGGTCTAGCCTAAAGAAAACAAAGAACTTGGGTCTCCCGAATTACTATCACACAGATGAGAGAGTGGAGGGTAGTTGTTCATGTGTGAGCAAACAGTTGGGGGAAGCCAGACGAATTTAAATATTTACTATTGTTGATGACCTACTCAGACTATTCAGAAGTCATTTAATTTTAGGTAAGTTTTTTTTCCTTAGCTATAGTTTTAGAAAGTGAAGTAAATATGCAAAACGGGTTAATGCTTTAATCCCAGGTGATGGGACTATTTTTTTTTAAAGGCTGTTAGCCTCGCTCCTCCCAACATTTCCCTACTTTGTATTCCTAAGAAAAAACGTTTAAAAAGAGACATTCAGTGCAGTCCATACCAAAAAGAAAGGAAAAAAGATGGGGAAGATCTGTCATTGGGACTTCAGTTTATCAAGTGAACAATTGAGAAACGCTGGGTGTCCCTTCCCTTTGCTGAGGCGGATGTGGGAGATGGCGCTCCTTCCTGGATGGATCGACTGTGTTAAAGAACATATTGGAGCCCAAATACTGCTCAATAGATGATTGGGGTGCTGATTTCAGGGTAATTTCCATGGGACATTAAAAGAATCCACAACATGTGATCGTTTCTTTTCACTATTTTTGAATTTTAATTGTACTCATTTAATAATTGTGTATTCCCTGTGTTGGAGATTCTGCTGGAAAATTTCTTGTTTCAGATTTGAAAAAGTATTAACCATTTCCCGCCCCCCTCGACCTACTTGGTAACTAAATGCAATGTGTGCCTTGAATTATTTTGCTTATTGCAGATTTAAGTTAAAATGAGAGATGCAAAACTGTTAAGAATAAGTAAAGCACAATATGCTTTTATTGCGCTTCTTCTATGGGCCCTGGAGCTTTATATGCCCTTTTATTTCACCTGTGCAAACCAATGCCGAGCCCAGGAGTCCGATTGGAGGTATTCGTATGTCTTTGCTCAGGGCCTTTGCCTTCTGTTTGTGCCAAGAATAATTGTTCATGAGAGTCATTTGTAAGTTACAGTATTTTCAAAAGCACTATTTCCATGCTTATTTTTTTGAATTTATGCTTAGATAAGTCATGTGACTGTATTGTTGTGTTCTGTTGTTTTCTGTACCCTTCATGCTGTCATTCTATTTTCAAATAAAAGATAATTTGGTAGGTTAAGTCAATACCTGGTCTGTTTTTCTTCCCCTATCACGCCTCGCTGCTCCATATTTGTTGGCTCTTGCAAAATTGTTCCGGTTACCACCTGAAGCAGGAAAGTAAAGCGTTCACATGGTTGTGCAGTCGGGTTTGCAATATAATGTCTCAAAACAACTGTCCAGTCTCCAGGAAAAGTTAACGCCCTAGCAGACTACAGGCGGAGTTCCTCAGAAGACTTCCTAATAGAAATAGAGATGTCATCTGGCTCTTCTCTGAGAATGCTGGGGGTCAGTTAAGTATGATCCCCAGGCCTGTAACGGTCTCCAGCTGGCACACATGGCTATCAATGAAAGCTTGGTTCCTCAAGAAGCAGAAACATCAGATGGCTTTGCAGTGCTGGGCCCTATTTTCATTGTCCGAACCATGCCTTGTATAGCTCACTAGACAGCATGTTCACCTTCGGCCAGTGAAAGAGGCTTTCAAAGAATGAAATGCTGTGAATACGCATACTCTTTTGTGGTTTACCTTTGGCTCAGCTGGGTCAGCTGATACATTGGGGCTCCATAATGACTACAGATCACATTCCGTTTGGTTCCCTAAGTCATTAATTTATCAAATATTGAATGATGATTGTGCCAGACCCTATGCTTTGCTATGGGACAATGTAGCCGCCCTCCTCTTTATATCAGTTCAATTATTGACTTCACACTCCCAACCTTTTATCCATATGCATTATGATTTTATATAGCACCAAGTGCAAAGATGATTCTGCAGAACCTTGGTTTTAAAAAAATCATTTTATTGGGGGCTCTTACAGCTCTTATCACCATCCATCCATTGTGTCAAGCACATTTAAAAAAAAATTTTTTGGGAGGGTTCGTACAACGCTTATCCATACATCCATCCATTGTGTCAAGCACATTTGCACATTTGTTGCCATCATCATTCTCAAAACATCTGCTTTCCACTCAAGCCCCTGACATCAGCTCCTCATTTTCCCCCTCCCTCCCCGTTCCGCTCTCCCTCATGAACCCTTGGTAATTTACAAGTCATTATTATTTTGTCATATCTTACACTGTCCACCGTCTCCCTTCACCCACTTTTCTGTTGATCAACCTCCAGAGAGGAGGTTATATGTAGATCCTTGTAATCGGTTCCCCGTTTCTACCCCACCTACCATCCACCCTCCCAGTATCACCATTCTCACCACTGCACCTGAGGAGTTCATCTGTCCTGTATTCCCTGTGTTTCCAGTTCCCATCTGTGCCAGTGTACATCCTCCAGTCTAGCTGGATTTGTAAAGTAGAATTGGGATCATGATAGTTGGGGAGAAGAAGCATTTAAGAACTTGAGGAAAGTTGTATGTTTCCTCATTGCTACACTGTGCCCTTACCAGCTTGTCTCCTCCCCGCCACCCTTCTGTAAGGGGATGTCCAGTTGCCCACAAATGGCCTTTGGGCCCCCACTCTGTATGCCCCCATTCACAATGATGCGATTTTTGTTCCTTGATGCTTGATACCTGATCCCTTCAACACCTTGTGATCACACAGGCTGGTGTGCTTCTTCCATGTGGGCTTTGTTGCTTCTGAGCTAGATGGCTGCTTGTTTACCCTTAAGCCTTTAAGACCCCAGACACTATATATGTCAAGCACATTTATACATATGTTGCTATCATCATTTTCAAAACATTTTCTCTCTACTTAAGCCCTTGATATCAGCTCCTCATTATTCTCCCTTCCCCACTCTTCCTCCCTCATGAACCTTTGATAATTTAAAAATTCCCCATCCCCAAGTCTTACTCCAACCACTGTCTCCCTAAACCCACTTTTCTGGTTGTCCATCCCCGTAGGAAGGGGTTATATGTAGATCATTGTGATCGGTTCCCCGTTTCTCCCTGAACCTTCCCTTTCCCCTCCTGGCAAACAGTGTCTATGTATGAAAGAACCCAGAGTAGGGAGGAAATACTGTTTGGAAGAGTGACTAAATAAAGCTCCTTTTCAGAATTTGAGATGGAAATTATTGTTTTCTTTTTGTCGATAACTTCAGCAGAAATGCTACCTTCTCTGTGCACCCAAATCTTAAATGTGTACACACACACACACTATAAAGTATACACAATATTCTTCT